TGTGCATCCCCTTTACTCTTAAAAATGGGCACCAAAATACTCTTCATCCACTCCTCTGGCATCATTTTTGTTTTTAAAATAATATTAAAGAGTTTAGTAAGCCAAGAAACTCCCAAATCTCCTAAAAATTTCCACACTTTAATTTGGATATCATGAGGTCCTACAGACTTTTCACCCTTGGTTTTCGTTAAAGCCTCATAAACTTTTTTTTACTAATGTGATGGTAAAAATGAAATGTTTCATTATTATTAATGATATTATGATCATATTTTTAGAAAATTCATTGAAAAGTTTATCAAATAGCTCACCCTTATCAAAATAACTCACCCACCTATGTTGAATATCTTTTTCTAAGAAAAATTTTTTTTTTTATTTTTATCTTTAATACACTTTACTTGAGTTAAATCTTTACTTCTCTTTTCTTTTTGTTGGGCTAGTTTATACATATATTTTCCACCATCTTTAGTATTTAATCTTTTATTAAAAATATCACTAAAAGCAGAATTTTTAGCGTCACAGATTATTTTTTTAAACTCTCTGCGGGCCGTTTGATATTTTTTTCAGTTCTCTAAGCTTTTACATTTAAACCAAATTTCCAAACCAATTTTTATAACTAAGGTCGATCGTATTTTCATAAACACAAACAATGATAATGCAAAAAATTATCAACAAAAAGCATAATGGTAAAATAAACCTACAATATGAAACTACAAAATACATAACAATTTTTGCCAAATATAAGGCAACAATGAATAAGAACAGAAATTTATCTCAAGTACTCGAATGCCTAACACATTGATTAGAAAAAAAAAGGTAGTGGGCCTGTTAGAGAAGTTCTTTTCCTTTTTACTTGCCGTGCAGAGTGAGCGCTCTAATACGACATTTTGGGATTCTGCATCACCTGCTCATTGTTAAAGACAAATAGAAATTCCAGAATATAGAGCAGGTGGACATGAAAGCCACACGAGCAGGGAGAGGCACTATCCTGTATAAACAAAATAAAAGATTAAAAATAAAATTTAGCAACATATACTGATAATATAGTAACAGGAAAGACCTAGCTAACAGACAAAAAGACCTAGCTTTCTCACAAAAATGCAGACGCAAACCATTAAAAAATCAACTCTAGCTGCTGATTAGTTACCCAAAGTTCAATATAGTAACAGGAATCCAAAACCTGAAGCCTGCATCATGATAAATTTAATATTTAATGGTCGTAAATTCTTCTAAATTAAAAAAAAAAAGTAGGTATATTTGCAAATCTATTACCGTAGAGGAGTGTGGGGATAGCATCTTTCTGATACTTCGCTGGAAGCTCAGACAACTTTCCTAACCATAAATTGTTCCATGCAAAAATAACAGCAATAACGCATGGGCCGAGCACAATCTGGTTTAATATGACCTGAAATTAGATGAAGAAACGTGTTGAAAACAAATTGTATATATGGGAAACTCTTTACCTAACTTTTACATTTTAGGAAAATCAACCATGTCACACAATTCTTATGTATTGAGATATTTTGCAGGTTCATTTTAGTTCTACAATCTATAAAAGTATCGATTTACGGCGAGTTTGGGGTAGTTTATTTGGTGCGGTGGCGTTTTGAAAACGCACCTGACCTGTTTGTGTAAACTTCGTTTTGGCAATTTATGCGTTTTCAAAATGTTAAAAACAATGTTTTCACACCGCACCTATCTAGGTGCGGTGGGAGCTTATTGGCAATGATCTGACTTTTCCAAGAAAATAAAAATTTGTAATAGCCACCGCACGTAGCTTATCAGTAGATTATTTTTAATGAGCTTATCAGCAAATTATTCAATAAGCTACAGCTGCCCCAAACATCTTATTAGTCTCCAAACCTTTTTAAAAGGGGTTGAAAAACTCCTCATTGCGGACTTTTATAGTCCATATTAAAAGAGAAGGAATTAATTTAACACTTCTATAGATTTTGGAACTAAAATGACTCCATTTAATAGTTAGGTGACCATTTTGGCACTTTAGTCCATATGTATTTATAGATCTAACACCAAAAATTTTAGATGTACAAATTGATTACTTACATATCTAAACTTATGTATGAAAAAGTGTATTTTACTTTGAAGAAGTTAATAATAATGGTGTTTTTTATGTGATTTCAAAGATTTGAGAATTATGTATATAAATATTGAAGTTTAGGTGTTAAATATGTATATATAAGAATTTTAAATACTCTAAACTTGCCTTTGTTGAAAGCGTAATGAGTGTTTGTTTTGGCATGCATTGATCAAGGAATTGGTACCACACATAAGAACCTGGACCATAGAGAAAAAACCCATAGGAAGCCATCCGAAGAGACCTAAGCCAATCATGATTTGACCAAAAGGATGCCTCCTGAGAACAAAAATATTTATGAGATCTCCAAAACAGCCTACAACTATAGTGACAAAAAAGTTGGATATTATAATTATTTTGTTCGAGACCAAGATATATATTTGAAGAGCAACGAATCATATTCCATTCAATCACTAAATGTTAATGAAGACAATAAGAAGAACATCATATTATTTTTTTTGCTTTCCACATAGCATCTGTAACTCTAAGAAACTTCAGACTAAATTGACATTCTTAGTGAATCATGGACAAAAGTTTGCATGGCACAAAAACTAAAACACAAAGATGAAAATGTTCGTTAAACATAAAAAAATTGTCATGTTAAAACTTAATTACACTCAAGCAACAAATTAATGTTTTTAAATATCGTAAAAGCAATGTTGATTTTGCACATAACAATACTTTCTCCTTGCTTCTCTCCCATTTTAAAGGATTAACTAGCCCACTTGCCCTTTCTCTCCAGTCTCTTCTCTCTAACCTTTCCACTTGCCCTTCCTCTCTAGTCTCTTATCTCTGACCTTTATTGAAGCACTCCATCTCTTGGATCCCTCCTAACTCTCTCTGCGGACAAGATTCTCTTCAATATTAAGTTTCTACTCTATATAAGGGGTTCGAGTACCGCATTTGTAATTTCTCGCTTCCCTCACTTTCGATGCTTCATGCTCTCTTCTCTTTCCACATCTTTATCTTTCATCTTAATCCACTATCTACTCTCTTGACTAATATGGATGGGAATATTGCCCTGCATCACTCTCACAGCTAGTTCTCTAAGGCATTTGTTTGTACTGAAGGAAGTAAAATGAACTTCAAATGATTTGAGGGTTGATTAAGAGCCCGTCACCAATAATTTGAACTTCTCAACACTTCATTATCCTTCGCTCAAAGTTCTACATCCAAACACAGACTCCATTTCAAATGAACGGTTCATTAATTTTCAAAAAAGTTTACAATTTTCTTACAAAAGAGGGCCTTAGTCTATGATCTCTCTTGATGACTATTTCTAATTGATAATGCATGCATTAGATAGTTAAAAAAACTAAGAAAAAAGGTGATAGTGTTTAGAATTTATAGAAAATGATAAACTGATATTAATATTTATCAATCAATATTATTAGAGGGTCAAGTGATATTATCAATTCTCAATATGTACTATTTGAAGATACAGTGACATATAAGTGTGATAATTTTAACTATCTTGCACCTCACACATTATCATTTGTCAACTCCAACAAAATAATCATTTGTCACTTGCGCCTCACACATTATCATCATTTGTTCTTCACACAACGACATCGCATGCACCCCGTACAGTGTAACCATCTACATATATCAGAATGTAATTGCCTATTGCCATGCAGCATTTTGTCTTGCTAATATAGCATCACTTCCTAAATTGTGCACAATACAACAAATTACACCACTTGGAGCATTGCCATTGGTTCCTGCTGCAGCAACATCTTTTGCACAAAGGGTTCAATTTTAATCGACCTGAAATCAACATCTATTAGTTCCCACTCAAGAAGTAATCACCTGATACCATCTTGATATGTGCATAGAGACATGAATACATGAGTTTCTTCATACGTATAAGTATATTTTAAGTGTAAGTGTATATATAGAGAGAAAGAGAGTGTGTGTGTGTGTGTGTGCCGTGGGAGCATACATCTTGATATGTGCATAGAGACATGAATACATGAGTGTCTTCATATGTATAAGTATATTTTAAGTGTAAGTGTATATATAGAGAGAAAGTGTGTGTGTGTGTGACGCGGGAGCATACCATCACAGTACTGTTGTAGCTACAGTACTACAGCCCTTCCCTCCCCCTCACCTTTCCTATTCCAACCACTTTCCTACTTCTATCCAATTCCAATTCCTTCATATTCTATTCCTTGCTTTTTCTATCCCCTTTCCTATTTCTATTTCCTTCCAATTCCAATTCCTCCCTATTCATTGCCTACCTTCTCTACCACCTTCTATTTCTATCCCAATTTCAAATTCCTTCCTATCTCTTTGTGATAGAATCCTTTATATTATGTTGCGTTTGCCTAGGGTGCAGGAGGTTTTTAATAATTATTGCTTTCAATTGCTGCTTTTGAGGCGTTCTTCCCCTCCGAAAGTTATACTCGATAATAGGAAGGTGTTCCGGTTGTAACTTGTACGAGGTGGTGACTAGACTGTAGCTCAACAACGAGACATTTATCCTTCCGCAACTTCTTCTTACCCCGCAGTTCAACCG